CAGCCCTCCTGCCTGTCTCACTCCTCTCTTTGTCACTCAGATAAGCCAGAGATCCTGCAGGCAGATGCCCGCTACCAGGAGGTGGAGGGTGCCGGGCTCCTCCTGATGCTCTTCGTGCTGGTACAAGCCAACCCACCAGCCAGTGTCACCTGGGTGGACCAGAACGGACGCGTGATGGCCAACACCTCTGAGTTACTCCTCCTGGGTGCCACCCGCTACCCGGGGCTGTCCAACCACTCACTGCACGTCCACCTGGGCAGTGCAGCTGGCAACTTCTCCATCAGTGCTGCCAACAGTGTGGGTGTTGCCACTGCCTCCCTTCTGCCACCAGGTAGGTGTCGGGGGCGCCAAGCATGGCTCAGCGGCCCCGCAGAGGAGTATGGAGGGGTGTTGAGGCAGCCATGCTGCCCGTGCAGGTCTGCTGGAGGCCCGCGTGGAGCTGCCCCTCCTGGGCATTGCTGTTGGTGCAGCCCTGGCACTGGGTGCCCTGCTCAGCCTGGGTTCCTGCGCTGCCTGCCTGGCATGCCACCGGGACAAGCCAGCACCGGGTGAGGGGCAAGTGGGAGGGAGCAGCCCACTTGGCCAGTGTTCCCACTGCAGCAGCTCCAAGCACCCGCTGCCGCCGGGCACACGCCTGCCCCGCCAGACCCGGTCCCTGCCACCCGATCTGCGCCTTGGCGACCTCGCAGAGGAGCCTGGAGGTGAGACCCAAGCCGCTGGTGTAGAGGGACGCATGCTGCTGCAGATCCTGCCGTGGTGAAGCCTCAGTGTCCTAGCTTTCCTGACTTTTGTACCCTGCATCTTTCCCCGAGGATGTAGGAGCTGGTGCCAAGGGAGAGGAGAGCAACTTGACAGGGCCAGGGAACCTCCTGGTCCTCAGCAAGCTTGGTGAGGGGGCACATACAGGCAAGTGGCCTCAGAAGCCATTGGTCTCCGCAGCTGCCCCAAAAGGTGACGGCAGTATGCTGTGTTTCTCCTGCAGGCTTTGTCCAGCTCCCAACGTCTGGGCGCATCTACAAAATGCCCAGCACGAGCAGTGAGGAGATCTGGCTGTGAGATGCAGTGCCTGTGAACCAGGGCTGCCTGGCACCAGGTCCGTACCAGCTCCCAGAGCAGCGCAGCCGAGTGCTGGGGAGCCCATGCCAGCTGGCCCACCAGCCCCCAGCCCCCAGCTCTGTGTTAAGCTATGCACTGCAGGTCATGGTAGCCATGCCATTAGCCAAGGCATGTTTTTACGTAGCCTGTGCACTTTACAAGTAGATTATTACAATGTAAACGCATAGAAGCTATTTATACCCAGGCTGTGCCAAGCTGCCAGGGGCAAGGCCAAGCACTGGCCTCACTGCATAACCCTGTCTGCCTGCGCCAGAGCTGGGGCAGATGGGCGGGCAGGCAGCACAGCAGGGCCAGGCAGAGCTGTCCCCGCAGCAATAAACTAAACTCAAGCGTCTGTGTGGTACCATGCTGGTTATTTCTCCTGGGCAGCAGCTAAAGGGCTTGAGAACAGAAGAAGGGGCTTGATAATACAAAAAGGGGCTCAATAATATAAAAAGGAACTTGATAATATGAGGCAGGAGATTGAAGATCCCCAGGACAGAGCTCAGTACACACTGGGCAGATCCAAGTGTCATCTCTGGGCATGGGATTTATTCCGAGTTGCTGTAGTCCTTGTAGCATGCATTTGAGGAGCTTCTGTCCTGCAGCACCTACACCACAAGAAGCCTGCCACTGGGAAAAGCTGGTTTAATCCTGAACTCCCTAGGAATAAGTAAAAAATGGAGTCATTAGGTAGCTTCTGCGATGTGTGATGAGTGAAGTTCTGCTTTACGAGTGCAGAGCAGCTCAGGAGCATCAAAAAACCCAAGAGGCTTCTGAAGTGCTGTGTGCTGCTTCACAGGCTGCTGCAGTCAAACCCTGATGTCCAGCAGCAGAGGGTGATCCAGGGGATGAGGGTTTAATGTGAAGCGTCACATAAAGCTCAGTACCTCCACATCTGCCGCTCGTGATGGTGGGTTGGACGGCGGGGTCCTGCCCTCCTCCCCATCAGCCAGGGGCTTGAAATGCTGCAGGGAAGGAACGTGTTAGTGCAGAGAGTCGACTCTCGTTAGTCAGTGAACACGCGTACGCCTGACAGCACGAGCCGCTTCTGCTCTGCGTGAGCTGAGTGTTCAGCAGCCACCCTAACTTAGGTGGGAAAAGCGTTGTGGGCTTGTGCTGGACTGCTAACAAGGTGGCATCCCAGCCTTGCAGCACGTGAGAGGCTCCTTGTGTGATGCTGAGATGCTAGTGAAACAAGTAGCTTAGAAAATGCTCTTTGGATGCCTTTATCGTAGCCTCCTAGCCCTTTGCATGCAACAGTGGTACGGCAGAGGCGAACATTAGAAAAGCAGCTTCATGGTGTGTTCAGCTGGGTGAGCAGCACCTGTCTGGAGCTGCCTACCTGCAAATTCTTGAACTCCAAGTAGAGGGAAAAAAGTACGTGCAGAGGCTGGATCCGACTCTTGTACACGGGGATGTCCAGAACGGCTACAAGTGATAGCAGAAGCGTGTGAGAGCATCTGGGCTCAAGTAAAGGCTGAGCTTCCCACCACGCACGACTGTTTGGGCCTTTGCTCATTAAAGCCCAAGGTACAAGAGCCTGCTTCTACTGAAGGCAGCAGAGAACAATCCCAGTCGCTCGGGGCTGAGCCCGCACCCCGAGCACTCCTGCTCAGAGCGACACCGTGCCCGGCCAGCAGTGCGCCCGCATCCCCAGCACAGCCCCCTGCTCACCACAGACCATCTCGATGTACTCAGCCAGGCTGCAGCTCATCTCCGCAGTCGGAAGGCCCACCTGGAACAGACGGAGCCATCAGCTCTGCTCCCGGACAGAGTGAGCCCAAACACAGGCACCGAACCCCGGCGGAGCGCAGAGCCAGATTGGCAGCAGCTGGAATTTGGGTGGTGGGCTGCTCCCGTCTTCTGGTAAGTGAGGAGCAAACCTGGGTGGGCCAGGCCATGGGCAAAGGGGTCCAAATGGAACAGGAACGCAGCTTTCAAGGAAGGAAGTTTCTAACATCACATACTGAGCTAACTACTCATCACTCAATCAACGCACCTTTCCCAGGAGCTCCTCAAATTCCGGTGACCACTCCTGCATCAGGGTCTCAATGTCGGGCATTGGCCTGCCACAGCAGAAAAGAACATGAACTCCAGGACCTTGCACGACTGAGAAGGCTTTGTGCTGCCAGGCTGCTGTATCGGGACAGCCACCGTTCCACCAGCTGAGCATGAGCAGCACATCGGCCGAGGGCCAATGTCAGCATTTTTATTTTTCAAAACAAGCCTAAGTTGGGAGTTCTGCATGCTGGCTGCTAAACGAGTCCAAGTTACACAGGGAGAAAGAAGTAGAGAGAGGGAAACAGAGCAGCCTGCACACACACATGGTGGGACTACCCCAAAAATCAGCATGTCCTCTCCCTCTTGGAGATATTTTGATAGTTTTACTGAGTTTTACTCTTAGACTTTGCTGCCGCTGAGCTGAACTGGCACCATACAAGGGCGTGTGAAGGAGCGTTGCCAGACTGGCTCACCTGCTGTAGTGGACAGTGGCGGGAGGTTTGCAGCGGTGCAGCTCACTGATACTCTCAATCCAGCTCTCAATGGCTTTGGGGTTCTTCTCCGCGTTCTCCAAACTCTTCACTTTTATCTGCTGCTAAAACACAAAATGTAAACCTGGAAGCATTTTGTGGTGTTTTGGGGCTTTCTGGCACACCCCTGACTCGTTCCTGATTGACCACGTGTTTTCTCCTTCCTGGCTGCGCTACACTGACCAAATTCTGCAGACAGAGGAGCAGCCAGTGAACAAAATGCTGAGTAAAACCAGGTACTGGCAACCAACAGGGAACAAAGCTTCACCTGCCAGAAGCAGACCCAAGGCCTGAACCAAGGCTTGCCTGAAGCAAACCTGAGATCCATTGCAGTTTAAAGCTATGAGTTTTTTCTGCTTTTAAAGCCAATTTATCAGTTATGCTGCCTCACTGTAGTCACAGAGGCAAAGGTGAGAGTACAATACAGCAGTTTCGCTGCAGCCAGCACGACTTCCCCGCCCCCAGCTCACGGTGACATTGTGCTGCTTGGAGTTCTCTGTCAGCCAAAGGGCGAGCACGGTGGGATCCGACTGCTTGGTCGATGGCTCATCCAGCACCAGCAGGCCAAGGTTGTCAGGCTTGCCGTCGGGACGGGGAACCTGCAGAGGAGCAGAGACCCTGTTTTCTGTGGGAGTCCAGGACAGGGGACGTTTGGGTTGTTTAGCGCAGAGCCTCCGTGCGGTTTCAGAATCAGCTGCTCAAAGCGAAGGGCAGGCGTGCGTGTTGGGCGCAGGAAATGCAGCCCGCTCCCCAGATCACATAGGTAGAGTTTGAGAGGTAACAAACCCGCCGGGTGTGGCTTCCCCGGTCTCTGGAACCTTATCTCTGGGCACGTACCAAGCACGGAGAGACCAGCCACGCCGGGCTGCGTGGCCCAACCGCCCCCCTCGTGCCACTGCCACGTTCTGCTCCGGCTCGGGTGGCAGGACACGCAGAGGAACCCGAGGGAACTGTACCTTTAGGAACGCATCTATGTCTCCAACTGCAGGAATAAAGTCTGGAATAAAAGGTTGCAGTTTGTGCTCTATCTCTATTGTCTTGGGCGTGTACCTGGAAAAAAAAACCGCCGCAACACAGGTGACTACGTCCTGTTCCACAAAACTGGCCACATGAATTGACCCAGAGAAGAACTGAGCGGGCTAAAGCTAAAACCCCTTCCACTGACCTCTTGATGTACTCAAAGAGCTCTTTGATTTCAGAAGACACGGGCAGATAGTCATAATCTGCTAGGCTGAGGTCACTAAAGAAAGGAAGAAAACGTGGGCAAAGATTAACGTGTGCAAGGCTCTGTGCATGCAGGAACGGGGACCTAGCTGTGCCAGACAACCACGAAGGAAGCTGAAATGCCAGGGAGCAGGTCTGCTCTTGGGAGGACTTCTTGCACGAGGAAAAACTCTTTTTGCCACATTGTGTCTTGAGCCTTCTAGCCAAAAAAAAAGCACTTGAGTGATGGATGCTTGCTCGTGATCAGACAGACTCGTGTGGGGGTTGCCCAAAGCTGTGTAAGTGCCCCATGCAAAGGCAGGTGGGTGAGAGGAGAGCAAGTGGGGGATCAGTAACGGGCGTGGAGGGGAAAGCAGCGGAAAAGGAGGAGGATTACGGGGAGATCGAGGCCACGCTCCCTCCCGCGGTCCCGACACTAGACGCCGGCTCCTGCGGGCGGCGGTGCAGCTCACCCGTCCAGCGCCGCCCCGTGCTCCTCGGAGTCGTCCTCCGAGTCGCTCTCGGAGGAATCCTCCTCCTCCGAGTCGTCGCCGTCATCGTCGTCGTCCTCGTCCTCGCTGAAGGCGCCGAGGGTGGCTGCCGCCTCCTAGGCGAGCGGGACCGGG